TATGTACAGCCTGGACACGGGCAGTGCAGGTCCGGCAGCGCAGCCGAACGCTCCGGGGGCCCGGACTGCGTGTGCTGCAAGGGCGAGTGCTTGGGGAAAGCCTGGAGGGGTAGCATTTACAACCTGCAATGAGAACTGCAACACTTAAGGACTGCTGTGGGTTGTCTGCCACAGGCAAGCTGAAAACTTTACAAAACCAGCAAAATAAACACTGCTTAGACTGCAGAGGACAGCCTCATGAGAAGTCTTTTCGTTTAGTTTCTGGGCTGTACCGCTAATCCTGAGGCAGACATTGCTTTACATCACAGACCTGCTCTATTTTGTCGTACATACCATTACAGTTAAGGACTGCAGTGAATATTTACATATCATTAAGATCCCCTTTGCTCTCCTGTTAAAGATTCAGTGACTGTTGAATCTGGTCACACTGTGATCTGCTCGTAGGGCCTCCTCCGCATCAGATTCGTCTCTTTGGTCCCCTTGGGGAAAGCAGATCCCGGGGAGGCTAAGTGAGTTTGTCCATAGGAAATCATTCCAGACACTGTGTTGATGACAGTGAGCTCTGGAGCTGGGGGGCGGGGGCTCACATTCAGTGGAGGCAGAAAACCTGGCCTCGTCTGATCCAGCCCTGAGGCTCCTGAGCCCTCTTCCTCTAGAGGAGCCTGATTTCTGCCTCTTGGAGAAAGAGGAGGCACCTCCAGACCTCTTCTTGGACTTGGTAACAAAGTCTGGTACGTAGGAAGAATCTCTCTATTTCCTTTTGGTGACTTACTACCTTTGGGATCAGCAGCAGGAATTAGAGTGTTGGCGAACTGAGAACCGGAGATGTTGTAATTTGCTTCTCCACTTCCTTTCTTGATAATACTGCCAAGGTTTGAAAGTAAGCTGATTTGTCCCAAGCTGGCATCCATGCCCATGGGAATCTCGCTGGGGTTGTGTTTCTCTTCAACAAAAGGAGGCTGATAGTTTATTGCATCACGTAGTGCTTTCCTTGACATGGTTTGATCAGAGGCTCTCAGTACCTGAGCAGTGTCCTTCCTGTCTCTACCTTCATGACTGCAGGTGACACACTTGCATAAGTCAAGGCCACCAACCTTACAGGAGAGCTCTTCCATGGGAGTGATAGTCTGGAGTTCTTGTGGAGAAGCAAGTTTCCTCTGCTGGAACACTGCTGGGCAGCACTTCAGCCACGGATCACACTGCAGCACCTGCGTCAGCTTGAACCGTGCTGGTGCAGAGCGGGATTTGGTCATCAGTGGCACTCTTTCCGAGGAGCTGTCCCCCTGCTGCCCACCATAGAGCTCTTTAAAGCTGAATGGGTCTTCTGGACCCTCATCTGGCTCTATCTCTGACGGGGAGGTGCAGTCGGCTGGAGAAGCGCACTCCTCGAGGTCTGGAGGAGGCACGTTCAGGTACTGCTTTGTCTTCTGCCTGCCCGAGGCGGACTTGTCGGTGGTGATGATGATGACCTCTTTGCCTCGCGCCTTGCAGGCCTTCAGCAGCAGCTCCAGGGTGTCCCTGTCGGC